AGCACAAATACCAACACACCTGGTGGCCAGCGTAGAGCACTCCAGAGCACCAGCCATTTAGCGCCACAGTGACACATACAAGGGTAGACTAGGCTGGCACCAGAGCCCCACTAAGGTGAATCCCACTCCTTGGTGTTAGCCCTCCCACAACAGCCCATCCACTGTAGTCACAGCCAGTCCTCACAACCAGTCAGCCTGAGGGTCAGTCCCATCTCCTGACCTGCCAACAACAATCATGGCTCAATTTCACACAGCACACACAAAACCCTGCAAGACAGCAGGGCCATTGGGCCCCAGAACTGCCAATTCCCAACCTGTCCAGCAGGCAGGAGGTACAGCAGGAGACCCAGGAATCAGGGGAACCCCTTTGGGAAAGGGCCATGTTAGGAAGTACAAGAAGAGCTGGGCCTGCAGTGCTGTAGGAAGCATGGTGGTGGGCAGCAAATAAGGGAGTCCCTAACTCCACGGTGCCCAAGGAATTGAGGTGTAAAAACACACTGAGCCCTGTAGGGAGCGGCTAGAGGGTTAATCCTCGGATTGACCTGTGGCAGAGCCACAAACAAGTCCCAGATAAGAGGGCAGAGCCCTGTTACCATAATGAAGCTTGACCTCATGACGCTCCCTAGATCGTTCCTAGGTAGCTAAGGGGCTGCGGGAGATGCAGCAAGTGCTGACAAAACAAGTAAAACTCACAGGAACATTGTAACTATGTTGACCACAACCTTGTTTGTCTCTGACTATAAAATAAAGGCTAAGCTTACAGGCAGCATTTTTATGTGTCCTCATCCAGGCATGGAAGATCCACGGAGCCCCAGCTGTATTCTCTTTGTCTTTCTTTTCTAAATCCTTCACTGCCCCTCCTCAGGTTTACCCTTGGCCGTGCTGGTGCTGCACAGAGCCCCAGTGTGTACTCTCCAGTCAATGCATTTCAAGATGAGAGAGCCCTTTGCTTGTCCAGGCCCCAACCCCATGCCAGCTTGTGGAAGCGAGGTCTCTGGAGAGGAGGTCTGCACTGGGAGCTCTGTGTGCCCAGAGTTGCAGAGGCACAGCTGGCCCAGTTCCCCTGCCCAGGCCCTCGGGCCCCGTGGAGCCCCACTGCAGACCAAGAGCTGGGACATGAGAAAGACCAGCAGCTATAGGACACAAGCACTGACCTGGCCAGGGTCTCCATCTATTCCTCTATGTGCCTCTCTGTGCTCCCTTAGCTTGGCCCTGTGCTGTGAGGCATTCACTGTCTCTGGCTCCAGCAGGTACCAGGCCAAGCTTAGCTCAGCCTCTGATGCCTGCTCGGGAAAGCACTGCATAGCTAAGAAAGTAAAAGTCCTGCCCCCTTAGTTACTCCTGTGCTCTCCTCCAGGACCTGGAACTGAACCTGGAGGGGTCCAGACCATCATTCTTTTTTTTATTGTTTTATTGCTTAATGTATTACAAAGGGCATTACATATGTGTCCTTTTATTTTTCCCCGCCCTTGACAATCCCCTGACCTCTCCTACCCCCCAGTGTCTTATGTCCATTGGTTATGCTTATATGCATGCATACAAGTCCTTCGGTTGATCTCTTACCCCCCTCCCTCCTGCCCCCCAACTCTCCCTGCAGTTTGACAATCAATTTGAGGCAGCTCTGCCTCTGTATCTATTATTGTTCATACGTTTCTAATGCAGACCACCATTCTTAACCCACTCCCAACAAGTTGCTTCTGAGTCAGGCCAAGGTGGGGGTCTCCCTCTCTGGGCTCATCCTTGTGTCCTATATTACATGGAAATGCCTCTCAGATTTGAGAAACAGAAGTCAGGTGACTAGGAGGGATGCTTGGGAATAAGATGATTTGGTTCTCACCCAGCAGGAAGCTCAGTGAGAGCTGAAGGCCTGGGGTGAATAGTTAGCTCAGTTGTTTGGTCTAGAATGGGGCTGGGGTCGGGAACAGACAACCTACAGGGCCCTTTCTTCCACAGTGAGGCCTCCACCTTGGCCCCAGCACCTCACCTCAGCTACAGACTGGGGATACAGGAGCCTCCCTGGATTCTGGAGTTCATATTTCAGGCCGTATTTTTAATTTTTAATTTCTTTATTGATTAAAGTATTACATATGTGTCCTTATCCCCCCATTACCCTCATGACCCCCTGCTCATGCCCTCACCCCCTGTTGTCAGTGTCCATTGGTTAGGCTTATATGCATGCATACAAGTCCTTTGGTTGAGCTCTCCCACTTACCCCTCCCTCCACTACCTTCCATCTGAGGTTTGATGGTCTGATCAATGCATCTCTGTCTCTGGATCTGTTTTTGTTCATCATATTATGTTGCTCATTATATTCCACAAATGAGTGACATCATGTGATATTTATCGTTCCCTGACTGGCTTATTTCACTTAGCATAATGCTCTCCAGTTCCATCTATGCTGTTGCAAATGGTAAGAATTTCTTCTTTTTTACTGCAGAGAAGTATTCCATTGTGTGGATGTACCACTGTTTTTTAATCCACTCATCTGCTGATGGGTTCTTAGGCCGTTTCCAAATCTTAGCTACTGTAAATTGTGCTGCTATGAACACAGGGGTTCATATATCCTTTCTGATTGGTGTTTCTGTTTTCTTGGGATATATTCCTAGAAGTGGGATCACTAGGTCAATTGGGAGTTCCATTTTTAGTTTTTTGAGGAAACTCCATACTGTTTGCACAGTGCCTGCACCAGTCTGCATTCCCACCAGCAGTGCACGAGGGTTCCTTTTTCTCCGCATCTTCACCAGCATTTGTCGTTTGTTGATTTGTTGATGGTAGCCATTCTGACAGGTGTGAGGTGGTACCACATTGTTGTTTTGATTTGCGTCTCTCAGATAATTAGTGACGTTGAGCATGTTTTCATATGTCTCTTGGTTCAGGCCGTCTTCTGCTCTTTTTTTTACCCCAGGCCCAGGGAAACCCACTGTGACCCAGCCTAGAGATGACTAAACCGGGGCCAGCTGGACTGCAAATGCAGGGAACTTAGCACAGGAGTCCTCCAAGCCCAAGTCAAAATCAGAAAATGCACCAGGAATAATACAGTGTATGGTCTGAAGGTCACGTCACGTAGAGAAGGGACAGGGTGAGTGTCCCTGCCGGGTGCCTCCTCCCTGTGGCTTGGACTGAGCTCCTCATAACCACTAAACCCCATGCATCCACAGGAACCCAGGGGCAGATGGCAAAGTAGCTAGTTCTGCTGCTCAAGTTTCTTTAGAGAAGACATAGCGAGGGCTGTGCTGAACCTTCCTGTGCCCACAGAGGAAACTCCAGTGGACCAAGGTGAGATAGAGGCAAAAATCACTGTGAAACGGCCTGCAGGGGATGAGGACACAGAAAATCGGTCTTCCTCAGAGACAGCCCAGAAGGACTCAGCCCCAACACCCCATCAGCCTCTGCAGTCTCCTTGACCAGTGACAATGTCAATTTTACTTGGTTTCCTTGAGACACAGGGAGCTCACTCACGCCACTCAGCCCCTGCCAGGTTGGGTTAGCTTTTAAGTTCAAGAAAGTTCTCCTGGAAGGGAGCTAATATCCAACTGTACAGGACAATTCCGGTGGAATTGTTCTCTCTTTGTGTCCATGAAAAACTTGTCCTCCCTCCGGCCTCAGTGAGGGCACAAGTGTTTCACACATACAGTTTCTGGCATATTGAGGAGAATTAATGCTGAATGAAGGAAAATACATTTAAAATTCACAACAACAAAATAATTGTTCTTACTTAACAATTTCCTGAGAAAATGTCACTACCTCCCATGTTTTACTTCTGCCATTATTTTCTGATAAACGTGAGGAAGTGTCTTCGGGGATCCACGGGATGTGGGATTAAATCCTGGCCTTGTCCTTGAATAATTGTGTGAACTTGAAAGTGTGGCTTTATTGCTGTGTCTCAATTTCTTTGTTAAAATCTGTAAACTGAGGATGGTATTTGGACATTAAAATGAATACCTCTCTTGAAATGGGGTTGGGCAAATGTTAACTATCATTACCATCATCTTCATCAAATTAGGATTGTGGAACCCCTCTTTGTGGTTCTCAATTGTGTATGTGACAGTTGAGTTTTAACCATTGTTATTGGGGGGGGGGGATGAGAGGGGGATCAGGAAACTCCTGCCATGAGAGGGAAAGCCAGAGGTAGGAAAGCAAACTGGTGAAGCCCTGTGTTGCTGAGCTGGGATGGATGAATTGGCTCCTGTTTTACTTATGAGGAAGGAGAGGGGTGATGTTTCCTTGAGTCCCATTTAAGACACACAGTCATAGCTCTTTACGGAGAGGAGGACCAGGGCAAAGTGCAGGCAAAAGCTAAGATGTAGATAGAGAAGGAGAATTTAGTTACAAAAATGGTCAACGATGAAGGTGTAAATAAGTCCAGAGAGCAATGCATCAATGAGTCGGCTGTCAGACCTGGTGAAACCCAGGAGCTAATGACTCTGGCCTGCTTGCACTTCCCTCAGGAGTGGAGAGGTCCAGGATGCATGCAATGAATGGAAACCCAAGTCAAGAGGAAGGATTGTAAATCCCTGACTTCTTTGTGGGTTCCAGCATGGAGGAACTCTGGGTGTGATTGGTCCCTTGTAACCAGGTAACTGCGGAACGTGTTCTGATTGGCTGGCAGCAGCCAGGACAACAGACTTCAGTTGAGAAGCAACTGTGGCAGGAGAAGGAGCTTTGGCTGTGCTCTCTTCCCACTGTGGTTGTAGCTCTCAGCGCTTGTCGGATCCCGATCCATTTTCAACAAGTCGTGTTGGTTGCTGTCCTCACAAACAAGTCATCCAGAGAGGTGCAGTTTCGGGGGGTGGCTGGGCCCTGAGCCCCACCTAGGGCCAGGCAGCCCAGAGGCCAAGCAAACAGTGGGTGAGCCCTACCTGCTTGTGCGGTGAAGCCTTGGGGCTGCCTGCAGGCCTAGCCTTCCTTGGCGGGAGGGACTGTTGAGGGTTGTGGGTGGGGGGAGGCGGGGAGCGGGGTGTGAGCGAATCAGCAACACCAGGGAGGAGAGGAGGTGAACCATGGGCAACTCCAAGAGTTGCTGCCTGAAGGCCAGTCCCAGTCCCAGCGCCAGCGCCAAGCTGGGTGGGGGCTCCAGGCGCGTTAAGTCAAAGCGTGAGTCTGAGGCTCATGAGGCAGCTGCTAGGGACACAGGGGCAGTAGAAACAGTGCCTGCTGCCCCGAAGTCTGAGTCAACTTGCGGAGCCCTCAAGCGCCACCACCTGAAGAACAGCAGCGCCCCGGTGACGCCCCAAGGTAAGAAGCAGCAATTCCCTTCTGCTCTTTGGGGTACCTCTGTCCCCCGCTGCCCCTACAGTCCCCTGGGAGGGACTCACTGCCTGGGGCTCCTTCCAGCTGGAGCCAGCTTTCCTAGGGATGGACACCTGGTCCGCACCCCTGCTGCTTTCCCCCTTGCGGCCGGATGTGTTTCCCTCTTTACTACCTGAGCAGCAAGGTCGGATTTGGACCCTCCTGCTTGCCTGCTGACCTTCCTCAATGCTTTGTTCAATTGAGTTTACCTGCTGGAAAGGCACACGTGACCAGGTGTTTCAGTTGATTAGGACAGAAGTACAAGGAATGAGGGTTCCATTGTATTGGAAATGATGCCGCACAATAAAGCATGGGGTGTCCTGTGTGTGTGTTTTTCTTGTTTTAAGCTAATCGCTTTTGGTTCGGATGGCTGTGTTTGTCAGTTCCTTCCAGAGCCATGGGTGCCTCACAGTAGAGCGGAGACAGTAAAGGAAAAGCTACGCCCTGGCCCTCTCTTCACTCAGAAGGGACTGTTTCTGTGGTGCCAATCCCACACCATAGGAGGCAGTGTGGGAAACAGCACAGCCAAGACTCTATTCAGAGCTTTTATTCTTCTCCTGGCCTTTGTGACAGCAAAATGACGCTGGGTGCTGTAGCCATGTGCAATGAAGGTTACCATGCTCATTTTCGTTCTAAAAATATTTTTAAAAATAGTTTATTAAAACCGAACTGGTTTGGCTCAGTGGATAGAGCATTGGCCTGCACTTAAGAGTCCTGGGTCCAATCCCAGTCAAGGGCACATACCTCGGTTGCAGGCTTCCCCCCAGCCTGGGCCCTGGTCAGGGCTTGTGCAGGAGACAACCAACTGATGTGTTTCCCTCACATTGATGTTTCTCTCTGTCTTTCCCTCTCTCTCCCACTCTCTCTAAAAAGCAACGGATAAAATATCCTCGGGTGAGGATTAAATAAAAGAAAGAAAGAAAAAATTAGTTTATTGATTTTTGGAGGGAGAGGGAGAGAGAGAAAACATTGATGTGAGAGAGTAACATGGATTTGCTGCGTCCTGCCCGCCCCCCCCCCCCCCCCCCAGCAGGGACTGAGCCCAAAACACAGGCATGTCCCCTTGACCACGAATGAAACTGGTCAACCTTTTGGTGCAGGGGACGATGCCCAACAAACTGTGCAACACCAGCCAGGGCTACTAAGGCAGCACTCATTTTAAAATGTACATTTAAATAGGTTACTTTCCAATTGAGTAAAGACCCATTGGTTTTTAGTGAGGTATTTTGGTTGATTACCAATAAGTGGTTCTGGACATTTCCAGGGAGGCTCATGAGCCTGGGGACTGGTGCCTGGCCAGAAACTGGTTCTCAGAGCGTCAACTCTTAGATCCTGGTGGTTCAAGTGAGATGGGTATAAATGTACAATCAGACACCAATACTGGGTAGAGGTTCAGATCTGCTACAGGTAAACTTCTTCATCAGCTTCGTTTCTCACCTGGTCTGAATTGATTTGCCCTTTTCTTCTGTACATGGAGAGCCTTTCATTTGTGCCTAATATAGGTGATACGTTAGGTCAAAAAGTAACACTAAGTTTTTAGATTTTACTTTGGGGTGCTTATCTTTCCAGGTATTCCAAATTATAAATTTTGTTGTAAAGTATTTAAAATGAAATAAAATTTTGCTCATTGTATATGTGGTAGTTTCTCAGATAACAAACCCTTGTTATTTTCTATGGCATTTGTATCAGAATTGATCAGTTCATTTGTTTTTTCTTAGAGCAAGACAAGAGGAAGAACAATGATGTAAGTAAACAGTTGAAGAGTTAAATAAGAAATTAATAGTTTGATATAAAAGTTGTCTGCTGTGATTCCTAACAAGTGTAATGGACAGATACCAATAGCACGGACCTCATTTGTAGGTGTTCTCAACCTCCTCTATTTTCCTAATTATTCTAGATTGAAGGATAATTTATTCCTTCAAATAGTGATATTTTTCAAAAAAATATATGGTCTGGAACTTCTGATTAATAAGGAAAAAGTGGCTTTGCAGTGAAACCATTAAAACAAGCAAAATGGTGTTTATACAATCTATGGATCTTTCTGATTATAGGCTGCTGGCATTGTTAAAATGCTCTGTGTTTTAAAAGGCATCAAGTAGATTATTGCCCTGCCCGATCTCTTGTGCATTTGTGGGGGATGCTGATGGGGAAGTATGACCGCATGAAGAAAGCTATTTTCTATGAAATGAGGAAGGATGGCTTATCTGCATTAGTTTTTAAAAAGAACAAAATCAAGCATATTAAGTTATTAGTATTTTCTGATATTCAAAAATGCTACTGTTATTCTCAGCTATTTACTATGATTCGTGATTGGCCTTATTTTAAGGAAGAGAATTGTCAAAAACATAGTTCAGGCTATGTCAGTATTTGATTATTGCTGAATTGTTGGGCTCTTTGCAAATCAATGGATACTTCTCAAATCAATGGGTACTGCTAAAGTGTGTTAAGGATAGTGTTTTCTCTAAAGGTTCTCAAACATTTTATTGTCACCTCTCTAGTACCACTGCAGATAAATTCTAAATTGTATCTGCAGTAAGATTTATCTCCCAGATGTAAACGATTTAAAAAACTTGTTGCCCTAGCTGGTTTGGCTCAGTGGATACAGCATTGGCCTGCAGTCTGAGGGGTCCCAGGTTTGATTCCGGCCACGGGCACATGCTAGGGTTGCAGACTCAATCCCCAGTGAGGGGCGTGCAGGAGGCAGCCAATCAAATATTCTCATCATCATTGATATTTCTAGCTCTCTATTCCTCTATCTTCCTCTCTGAAATAAAAAAATATATATATTAAAAAAAAAAACTTGACAAGTACTCGAACTGCTAATCTGTCCCAGGTTCTATGGTCAGCAACTGGAGGCCGGAGAGAAGTCAGAGTCCTCCCTTCCCTAGAGAAGCGTAGGTTCCTATGAGGGGGACACCCTGGAGGCAGTTGATGCCGTGTGACAAGTGGTCACTCAGATGTGGGCGTGTGCAGGAGAGAAGCTGGGTGGTGTGCTGCTGGGGAGGGTGTCCTGGAGGTAGGTGGGGAGGAGTGGAGCTGCTGGACAAGGAAGAAGAGGCCTCCTTGGAAGCAGAGAGAGCAGCCTGAGGGCCAGGATGGGGGGGAGTGTCAGATGGCCAAGAGAACAGAATGGAAACCATTCTCTGGGGTTCTCGCTTGAGAAATGTAATGATAGTCTTCCTTAAACATGAAGTGAGAGTTGAATTCTGAAAGTTGTTTTATCTGGTTTTGGGGAAAGTGAGGCTCAGAGAGACCTGTGGCCCCCAGCTTGTTAGCAAATGGGCAGCCCTGACGCACACACACACCTGTGACCAAACATGCTTGTTTGTCTCTTTGAATTAATATTCATTGTTGGCTTTCATTTACTGTAATAAAATGGTCGTGAATTTTTATTATTTAATGCATTGCATTTAAGTGCAATAAATGAACAAGAGAAATAGGAAACCTTAGCTAGGTTTGCTCTCTTAAGGAAGAAAAACACTGAAGTCTAATTCTAAACGTTTTACACTATTATAAAGGGCATTTTTAATAGGGGTTGGGCAGGTTTGATGACAGGTACTTATGAAAGGGAATACTTTATAAGCCATTCCTCAAATCTCGTCTGTAGAAGTTAGATTATCTGTTGGGTTTACATAGAGCCGCACATGATCTCACACTCAAGCAGTTCATGGGCTGTAAGAAAACCCTTAATGCTTAATTGTTTGACATTTTAACCAAGAGAAAGAACAGACACTTTTATAGGTTCAGCAGACGCACGGTGACATTTGCCTCTCTTTCCCTCTACGTCAGGAATGTCCAGGGCGCCTCACTAAAGGATATGGGTCGTGTCCGACAGTGTTTCCCTCTGACGATACCATCAGGCAGCCAGACTTTAAAACCATCATCCAGTCGTGAGTACCACTAGGTGGCCGCAGGCTGAGTGACAGACCCCCTTCTGCTGAGAGCATCCTACTGATCCATAGTTTCAGCCACTTTGTGGTCCTTCTCAGTAACCAGGTTAAGAAACTGGTGTCTATTATTTATTGATTTCAAGGACCTAAATATGAAATTTCAATTTCCATGTAACCAGTAGAGTGGATGGAAGAAGGGAAAACCAGTTAGCAAATATATGAAATCCCCCCAAAATATCATGTGTGTTTTTCTGTTTTTAAGGCATTTTTGACCATAATGGAAGGGAGAAGGGCTTTTTATTGGGTGTTTCTATTAAAACGTATTTCTTTATGGGACATAGGCCTAAAACAGTGCACAGCACTTTAGAAGCTATTCTTGCAAGAAGGAATAGTTTCTCCCCCACTGGCACCAGAGTGTGTCTGCATTACAAGTTAATTGGATTTTGACAGATTTTCCCATCATACATTTTTCTACACTATGTTTGTATTAAAATTTACTTTTCCTCTACCCCCAAAGTGGGATGTATCACATCAGTCTTTAAGGAACAACTTTTCAAGCTAATTCCTTTTTAGGTAAAATTTGTTCAACTGAAGTTTTAATTTAATAGATATATAAAATTTAATTATATATGTATACATATGTATAAATACATCTTCAAGACACAGCATCTTGTGGACCGGTGCATGAAATTCGTGCACATTAAAAGGAGATTAATTAGAGGAAATATTTTAATATTGCTATTTGCCCTTTCTCTATAATAGAAGTGTCAGAGATGAAAGAAAATTAGTAAAATGTATATGAAAATCTTCCTCCTGTCAGAGTCAGGGGCGCACCATGGGACCCAGAGTCAAGTCCCTACCGACCCACGTGCGCTTCAAAATCACATGAGATCCAGACCCAGCGACCCCCCCACCCCCACCATTGGGCTAGGTCCAGACCCTGACAGTCCCACCCTTGTCAAGCCCTGCTGGGCAGGGGGTGCAGCCCCAGGGCCCCCAGACCAGGCTGGAGCGGGGGGGCACGCCTTGAGGTCCCCTGCCAAGTTCCATGGGGGCCGGGAGGGGGGTCGCAGCCTCAGGTCCCTGCTGATTGCTCATTAAGGCTCTTTACGGGAACTCTGCTTCCACTGTGGGTGCAATCATCTTTGTGGTGGTGACAGTCAATTTGCATATTCCTCTCTAATATATAGGAGATATATAACAAAAGAAAAAGGTGAAAGAAGTAATTTTTGGACACGTAGACTTAGACAGGTTTATACTTAAACAACCATGAACAGTGTTATGATGATGAAAAGTATTTATTAGTTGCCCCATAGTCTGCCATGGGAGATGAACCTTAAAAACACCCTAAGATGAAAACTCTAAGCTTATTTAAGAGAGACAATGCATATTCTGTCCAGCTTCCTGGCTCCCATGGGGTTGTCCAAGGTACATTCTCAGTGTCTGGAATAGGAGGGCTGATTCTCCAGAACACGGTTTAGGAAATGCTCCCTGACAGTATTAGTATATTCACCTTTAATTGTATTTTCAGCCTGAAAAGGATAAGTAGCTTTAAAACGTCATTTTCAAAATGTGCCATCTTTGTGCTAATTAAATTATTAGTAACGTCTACTTTAGTTAAAAAACAGCAAGTTCACAATTATAATAATATAACTTTCTTCTCTCACTTATAACAGTAGTTGAGATCAAATTGTGTTTCAGCAAAAGCTGAGCCCCATCTCTCTCTCTCAACTCCTGAGCTTTGGGACCTATTGAGTAATCACTGAATGTTTGTATTCAGCCAAGACACTAAATCCTGGAGTAAAGAATAACACCACTCAACTTTGGATGCATTCTGTAGCTTCTTTTGAATTCAAAAGATTCTGATGTTACAGAATAATTCAAACGTAGTTGTAAAGGTTAGCCTTGCTCAGACAAGTAGGTTTCGTGCTTCTTTCTCCAAAGTCTAATTTAGGAAGTACAGTAAATTTTCATTTGCTGTCCTCCCGTTTGAAAATGGTCATTCAGAGCCACGCCCGCCCGCTTCTGCTGCAATTAGACAGATGTATGAGGTTTTTCCTGGGGATGGACCCTAGATTTCAGCAGGACCCATGGAGAGGCAAACGCTTTATGTAAATTAGCATCACATCATAATTTGCCTCAGAATGGAAACAGTTTGGACTTCTTTTTTTTTTTTTTTTTTTTTTTTTAAGCTGTGTGGCCGAACTTCTTGATAGTAAAATACGAGGAAAACGGGTGGTGGGCGGCGATCTAAAGTAAAGCCCTGTTAGGACTCAGGGCCAGTGCTGCAAGGCGCTTTCACATGGGGTGGGGTGGTGCTCAGCCGCCGCCCAGCTCAGGGGAGGCCCTGCTGTTTGTAACCAGTTCCCAGCCTCTGAGGACGCCATTTGCCTTCCATTTCCATCTTCAAGAACTTGAACCAGCATCTTATTAATCCTTTAATCCAGTGGTTCTCAACCTTCCTAATGCTGCGACCCTTTAATACAGTTCCTCATGTTGTGGTGACCCCCCAACCGTGAAATTATTTTCGTTGCTAGTTCATAACTGTAATTTTGCTACTGTTATGAATGGTCATGTTAATATCTGAGATGCAGGATGTATTTTCATTGTTACAAACTGAACATAATTAAAGCATAGTGATTAATCACAACAATAAAATGTAATTATATATGTGTTTTCTGATGGTCTCAGGGGACCCCTGTGAAAGGGTCCTTCGACCCCCAAAGGGGTCACGACCCACAGGTTGAGAACCGCTGCTTTAAACTCTGGGGAGAATCTTTCAGTTCTTACACGCAGATGTGCATCCCTTTTATTAAAAACAAACAAACAGTGCTGATAGCAGGCAGTGTGTTTAAACTGCTTTGCAAATATGATGTATGGTAGGAATGTCTTTTAGGAGGAAACACTCAACCCTTGGGGCAGGGATGTGTCTGTTTCCGTGTTAATCAAGGGGAAGGTTAACCAGGCGCACCTGCAGCAGATGACCTGGCGGGTCTGGTCTGGTTGGTTTTTCTTTTAGAAAGTAAAGGCCTCACAGGCCAGGCTTGTTCTTCTCTCCTCTGGGAGCGGAACCCATGATCCAGGGCAAGGAATTTGCAGGTGCTGATCCCTTCGGAATGCGCATGACTTGCCCAAGGAATCTGAGAAATGACGCAAATAAGCTGCCCTACTTTAGAGTAGTCATTCGATCTAAATATGTCAATCCTAACTTTTTTATTCTCAGATGTGATTGATGATGTGTATATTCTTACTTTTTCTTCTAACGGGCATGTGTATCCTTGTGGACATTTTGGAGAGAGCTTTTTCTGGGACTCTCCCATTTACAGACTCTTTCTACGCTTTTACGATGCGGTTCCCTGCTTTTCACAGATTGCTGAGACGAATGTATTTCTGCTTTCTTCTTATGGTAGGATGACAGCAAAAATAGCTCACTGAGCTGTCAGTTTTACCAGTTAGATAAGACACTTTCTTTATTACGGTTTCAGGGACGATCTTTTCAGGCTATTTCTCAGTTATTCTAAGAGCCAAATTTTGTAAAATGTCCATCAGGAATGTCCGTCTCAGACGCCCTTTGTGTAGCCTAGGCCTTAGGCATCCCCGCGCAGGAATGTTCCCGTTCCCAGAGCAACCGTCGCCATGGACCGACTCTCGCACATGCTTCTCAGAGTTTTGGCTTCTGCTGATGACTGGTTCTTTCTCACTGTCCACTCTGGGGACTGCTTGGTTCTGTCATATCCCCTTTGCGTTTGGTGACCTGGCAGATTCTCTCTTCCATAGCAGCTCACCTTCTCCTGGTCCCTTCTATGGAGCCAGGTTTCCAGTCACAGTCAAGTGGAAACAAAATTATTAAACTCAGTTCTCCTCTTCCAAAAAAAAAAAAAGAAGAAAAAAGAAAGAAAGGAAGGAAGGAAGGAAGGAAGGAAGGAAGGAAGGAAGGAAGGAAGGAAGGAAGAGAGAAAGAGAGAAAGAGAGAAAGAGAGAAAGAGAGAAAGAGAGAAAGAAAGAAAGAAAGAAAGAAAGAAAGAAAGAAAGAAAGAAAGAAAGAAAGAAAGAAAGAAAGAAAGAAAATGGTCATGCAGTAGATTCACTGTTGGGGAAGTGAGGGTTTACTGAGAAAATTCATAGAGCTAATTGAGTTTTAAGGATGATTTTGAAAAATGTGCATCATGATACATTGTTCCCAATGGGGTGCAGTCTTTACTGGAATCACTTACCCAACTTTTCTAAAAATGTTTGTCTCTAAATACATGCACTTCACCACCATCCCCAACAGTCTCTCAATGTCACAACCTCTGACAAGCTGAGGAAAACTGTGAGGCATGATTACATTTAATCTACTTTGGAAATAAATGTTATTAATTTTACACGGTGAAGCATTGCGATGCGTGTTAGCATTGCTTGTGCCAGGATAACTAAATCTACTGATGTGTTGGGCTCTTACACTTGCTGCTCAATTTCCTAATAATTATGTAAAAGTGATGTTAAACTTTTGTTGGCACAGAGCGTTTTATTTAATTGTAGGAAAATAATGGAAATGTGTGTGTAGGTAGATAGTGAAATAAATCAACTGAAACGCAGGCCTCACAGCTTTTTTAAAAGCATAACAACTACTGTATGGCTTAAATTTAAGTATGTGCACAAATACATATAACATGTACAGGATGCAAGGTCGTATGGGTACAAGGGCAGATGATGGGGGAGTGAGTACTAACATGTACAGGGTGGGGCCAAGGTAGGTGTACAGTCTCGAGTCTGTGAAATAGCAAAATAGCTAAAACAAGGGCAAAGTGCCCATATGATACTGATGGGAATGAAGATTTCAAGACCACTGGGCAGCTGGGATGGTCTTCCCGCTCCGCCCCCCCCACCCCAACCCATTAACAATTGTCCTCAAACCTAACATAATAAAATCAATTGTTACAATTCTTTTTTCTTCCACAGCATGACTTTGTGCATATATCACATCATAAAGTACAGGTGAGTTTTAAAACCTGTATTGTTATTCTAGCTAGTAAATGTATAACATATCAAATTGAGTGTTAGGTAGTCGCTGTAGACATTTTTGAAGAGAGCTTTAGAGTACTTTTTATTATATTATGAGAGGCCCGGTGCACAGATCGTGCACAGGTAGGGTCCAGCCGGCGGGCCCCAATCAGGGCCAGTTGGGCGGGGCCAGCCACGGGAGAGACCCCGGGTGGTTGGTGGACCAGCCCTGCCCCCTGGTCAAACTCTGGTTGAGCTCCTGGTCGAGGGGACAATTTGCATGGTACCCTTTTATTGTATAGGATTAAAGTGAATGAATTGTTTTTGTCTTAAGACCCATAACACTTGAGTTATTGAGGATCCCAAAGAGTATTTGTTTATGTGGATTATTTGCTATTTACTGTATTAGAAATTAAAATGGAGCTTTAAAAAATAAGTCCACTGTATTTTTAAACAGTTTTTATAGCATTACTGAAATTCTGAGCTGGATAATCCTTTGTTGTGGCAGATGGTCTTGCCCACTACAGGGTATAATATGCAAGACAATATGAAAAATAATTATTTTCCGCACCAAAATTTGAGTGGACATGTGTCATTAATTTACATTTTTGCAAATTTTTTAAATGTCTGGCTTAAGAGAAGACACCTGATTCTCATGGATATTCTGTCTGCAATCATTTGTCATTACTTCAGTCATCTTAATCCTTTGCTTTGAAGAAGTGTTAGGAAGACCCAGCCTCATGTAGCTATCTGGCTAGAAAAAGCTGTATTTACAAAGACTCAGATAATTGTGATTATCCTTTGACATTGGACCAAAAGTCCACAACTGCTGGTATTTTAAATTAGGTACAATGGAAATTTACATTATACCCATGAACTTACAGTAGGTACTCTGTTAAGTTCGTACCGATTGATCTATCTTGTAAACCAAAGGAATCTTTCACTTCTACATTATTTTATGATAACGTTAGTCATTTGGAGAGTATTGGTCCACTTTCTTACTACAGTGTCCGTACCTCCATTTTGTGAGTATCACCACCAATCTTGCCAGAAAAATCTCTAAGTATTGAAAAGCTGCCCAGCAGACAAAGCAAGGCACACATTGTTTCCCTGGTCGAATAGCTCAGTTGGTTTGAGCGTTGTCCTCAGATGTCAAAATCATGATTTTGATCCACGGTCAGGGCACATACAAGAAATAATCAATGAATGTGTAAAATTAAGTGGATCAATAAACCGATGTGTCTCTTTTTCTCTCTCACCCCCTGCCACCTCTTATTCTATTTCTCTGAAACAAAAACGAAGAACAAGAAAGACAGTCCATGTTTTCCCAAATCCTGATTGTTAGCTTGATAGCTTGATAAATGTACAGTTTACTTTCCTTGATGGGACAGGCTCACTGTTTATGTTTTGCGAGAATGGCAGGTGTATTCTCAGGTAAAGATGTAATTCTAAGGAAAGAGTGGCTTGTTCTGCTCACAGCTAAGTCATGAGCGCTTCTCCTTAGCAAAACCACATCTCAGTGTGCAGAAGTGCGTAATGCCCACTCTCCCCCTGTTGAGAAGGTGAAAACAGGATCCACGTTTCATAATACTCTTCCTTTTTATCAAGGACGTCCTGAAGTGAGGCAGAATTAGTTTTGAACTGCAAGTGGCAGTGAAGAATACACTGACTGCTAGCACAGTGTGGTACCACTGCCTTCATCCATGCTCACACACCAGTTTTGATCATCTTTGATTTTATACAACATTTCAAAAGTCGGTGTAGACTCAGGCAATGCCTCAATATTCCTCTAGCATGAGTGTTGACCGCATGGGCCTCCTGAGAAATAGGGCAGTGGTTCTCAACCTTCTGGCCCTTTAAGTACAGTTCCTCATGTTGGGACCCAACCATAAAACGATTTTCGTTGCTACTTCATAACTGTAATGTTGCTACTGTTATGAATCGTAATGTAAGTATTTGATCTGCAGGATGGTCTTAGGCGACCCCTGTGAAAAGGGTCGTTCAACTGCCAAAGGGGTCGCGACCCACAGGTTGAGAACCGCTGGTCTAGGGGAACCTAACCCCAGTGGCCGGCAGAGCTCACTTGTTCCAATGAGCAGAGTGTTTTAGTGCGGAGAACATTGCAGTCAAAAGACTGGTCACTTTTAAAATAGAAAGGCACCTTTTTAATTCAAACCTTTAACAGATACAAGAACAAATTCACAATAAGAATGTAATACAGGAAACTTAACAAGTGGAAAAACAGGAAATAAACATGAATGTCATATCCACATGAATTAAAATTCTAAACACATTGTAGCCCAGCACTACTGCTTTATAAAGTGTTCTTGTGTATTCCAGTGTGAGCTGGAGGGATGGAACCATATTTGGTGTACCAGCATTGCCTGTCAGGGAGGGTCAGTGGTTTTGAAGGCAACTCTCGCTGGTCATTGCAGAAAACATCGCACAGGGTTTGATGTACTGAGCAAAAAGAAGTCAGGAAACCCTCTTACAGAGTCAGTTTGTCAGACTGCTCTGTGGGAAGTTAAGCTTCCCCCTGAACCCCGTCTCCACTCCTAGATGATGTGTTGCTGAGAGACTAACATTTCCTGAGTAAGGTTCTCAAATGCATATTCTTGTTTTACAGAGTTGGACGTAAATCAATCGATATTTTCAATGAGAGAAAGCACCCCTTCAGAGTAAGTGTCAGTTTTATTGAGGTTCTATCTGTCTCTCCTACTGTGGTGTTTATTTCATACTGGTCTGCTTTGAAATGAATTATCAGAAGAAAACGACTCCCTCCAGCTTGAAGTCAAAATCATCTTCTTTTCAGTCTTCTCCCCACTGCATGTTGTCTCTAATGATTTTACAAAAGGAGGCTTGCGTGAGGGCCACGTCAGTAAGAACTGAGCCACAGCTTTGTATAGTCAGGGAGCTAAAGTGAGTAAATGTGCCCCAAATGAGTAAGTGTATCTTTCTTAAAGAAACATTTCAGGAGCACCAAACAATATAAATGTCTGTAAATAGACCTACAAGGTCTGTTAAGACTCTTTGAAAAAACTGAGGCAACTACTTAAATTTTAAACCAATTAAAATGAGAGGATTTCCTGCTTCCCTCCTCTGAAGCTCTGCAGCGACATGTAGCTGGTGCCTCCTGGGGAGCACGGCACAGCCAGAGTCTCGGGGTCACAGGAACATGAACATGTGTTTTCAGAGCTGGTTGCAGAGAAGAGTGACATGGGGTCAACATGCCTGTGAGCCTAAACATGGTATACATTTCGGTAGACTTCTGTGGGCGGGGGGAGGGAGAAACATACATAACTGTATGCAGGTTGTCTGTATCTGTGTTCAGTAACCGGTGAGTATAGAATCAGTGTTGTTTAAGATCATTGTTTATACCTCAAAGACTAATAGAGCCCTAGCTGGTTTGGCTCAGTGGATAGAGCGCTGGCCTGCGGACTGAAGGGTCCCGGGTTCAATTCTGGTCAAGGGCACATGCCTGGGTTGTGGGCCCCATCCCCAGTAGGGGGTGTGCAGGAGGCAGCTGATCAAAGATTCTCTCTCATCATTGACGTTTCTATCTCACTCTCCTTCTCCCTTCCTCTCTGAAATAAAAAAAAAAGTGTCATTATTTTTTAAAAAGGCTAAAAGACATGTCACCTAATCAAAATTATTTTAGGGACAGGTGGGCAAAGTAGAAGGCTGCTAGCATGAGAGCTCTTATGTATTTTCCTTCAGTGGGTATTTGTATTGCCTTTTTTCTCTTTTCAGCACGAAATACTTACAACGGACCACTTTCTGCATGACCCTGAACTGAAGAGTGTCTACAGATTTGTCTGTGCCCTTTTCAGTGCTGAACACCTCACCGCTGAATGTGCGATTGTGACCTTGGTAAGACAGCTCTTCCAGGGGCTGCTTCTCTGTCCCAAGCACAGGCGATGGTCCAGCTTTGCACATCAAAGCAGATTCCTGACATGATCCTCAGAACTTTATTAAGAGAAGCTATGAAAGGGAGTAAGCCACACACAGTGGAGCTAAATAATCGTTGGGATTGAAAGTGTTACCATTGCAGTTTCCATCACAAACAATTGCTATTAAAGACATGAGGGGAGGTTTCGGTTTCTTCCCCCAACTCCCCACCCAACCCCAAGAGCTTATATTCTAGTGGGGAAGACATACGTAGTTTTTTAATGAGTGTTTTTAAAGAGATGAACGCTTCAGGTGGTGTGAGCACCAAGAAGATAAAGCAGGATGAAGAGATAAGGTGATCACAGGGATTTACTCTTTTAGGCAGCAAGGTCAGAAGAGCCTCTTTAAAGAGGAAACATTGGAACCGTGACCTGGCTGAGCTGAGGAAGATGAGCTCTGGCCTTGTGGGCAGGGGGCCCGAGGCACGCTTCTGAGACGGGCACAGGGTTTGTGTGTTCAGGGAACAGTGAGGTGTGGCCGTGTGGTCAGAGTGTGGGATGAGGAAAGAAGATGAGGTCAGAGACGGGCAATATCCTATCTCATAGGGCCTGGAGGCTTGCAGGCCATGGGAAGAAGTTACATTAGATTTGCCTGATGGGAAACCTTTGGCAGACATAGAGTTGGGGGTGAAGTGCTCTCAAGGAAAGAGGCTACTCTGGTTCCCTGGGGAGAAGAGAGTGTTGTTGGAAGTCCGAGTGGAGGCAGTAAAGTCAGGAGTCAGTAAGAGTCATACAGGTGAGAGGTGCCCAATGCACTGGCAAGCGGTCAGGTTCCCACGGAGAAGGGGAGGCCAGACCTGCTAGCAGATCGGAGCAGGCTGGCTCAAGTGGAGGTTTTTGGTCCCAGCAACTAGGCAAGTGGCCGTGCCCCCTCTGCTATTAGGGATGGCGGGGGAGTGGGCAGTGAGATGAAGAGCTCTGTTCATATTGTGAAGGCTCCGATGCCCTTAGCAATAGCAGTTTCAGTGGCGTGACAGCGCCAGGGGCAGACTAAAGTGGTGAACGAGAGAATGGGATGGCCTCTGGCTTTGGCTGGCCAAGCAGTGTCTGTAGAACGTAAGGATAGAAGGAATTTCACCCTTGCCAGGTGGCTCAGTAGATAGTGCAGTAGCCCACACACCAAAGGGTCACGGGTTCGATTCCTGGTCAAGGACCCCCACCTGGATTGCACGTTCGATTCCTCTCCCAAAACAAGCAAGTGGGGGGGGGGGGGGGGGCAGCTAATGGATGTCTCTCTCATATAGATGTTTTTCTCTCTGTGAATATCTGTCTCTCCCCACCTCCCTTCCTTCCACTCTTTCTAAGAATCAATGAAAAAATATCCTCCCATGAGTTTTGGCAAAGAAAAAAAAGAATTTCAAAAATGGATCAAATCTGTCATTTCTAACACTTCTAATCAAGCATTTACACTGAGCTAAAGTGAAAGACCAGTGCTCTACTTTTGCAGATTTTCATGGAAAGGCTGTTGGACTATGCACATATTGACATGAATCCCACTAACTGGAGAAGAATACTTTTGGGATCCGCCCTTCTTGCCTATGAGTATTGGGACAAACAGACTGTGTGGGGCATGGACTACTGCCAGCTCATCAACAACATCATTACCGTCGATGACATGTGAGCGCTGCTCCCAAATTTCCTTCCCCACTTTATTGAGCTCACCCCTGTGGGCAGGCTCCCCTCTGCTCGGGCAGGGGCAGGGCGCTGAGCAGGGCAGGACGCAGCGCCACGTGGGAGAACACGGTTGGAGTCTGACTCCGTGCCCGTCAGAGGCCAAGTCCTAAAGGGGGCTTAGTCCAGCCAGCTCATCTATCTTTCATGTTTCTGCTTTTCATAGTTTAAAAAGTGCAGCCTGTCCTGTCAGGAGGATTAAGGTGAACAGAAACTTCCCTTTTGTCCTCTGCTGTTAGTCACATGCACTAGGTGGGGGATGGGTCCCCTTTCCCATCAAATGTGGCTGATTTAATTAATTAATTTATTTATACTCGAGGAATCCTTGTTGCCTCAAGAGTGTTGGCCCCTCAGATAGTAGTGGTGGCTTCCCATGGATCCCTTCACGGCGGTGGTGACGTGCCCGCTTCGTTTGTTGGTACCTCTCTACTTCCACAAGCCCCTTCCTGTGAAGGGCCTGGTGGAAATGCCTGCAAGTTGGTTAGGGCCCAGGAGCAGCCTACATCACTCCTTTCATCTGAACACTACAGCGGGCCCTGGTCAGTGAGCCAGGAGCACGAATCCACAGCTGCACTCAAGGGACTCTGAGCCCCCAAGTCAGCAGCAGGAGAGCAAAAGGGGGCGGTCACCTCTTCACACTCCTCCCAACTCCAAGTGCTGGGATGCAGGAGGGACCTCAAAGAGCTGCACCTGGTTTGATGGTTACAGTCTTAGTACAGCTGGGTAACCTTTACTTGTTTCAAAACACAATTTAGAGTCATTCTTGTAGCGCAGAGTGACATTTTTGTCGGTAGCCCAGATGACTGAAATGTTCTGTGTCGGTTTTGTCTCCTCCTCCTCCCCTAGGAATGAGATAGAACTATATTTTTTACGTTTAATTTGTTATAATACTCAGATCACTGGCAGAACGTATGCCAGATATTACTTTGACCTTCTAGCCATAGCCGAGAAACACAACGTGCACGATCTATTTGAACCTTTTTGCAAAGTAGAGAACAGAACCCAGAGGTAAGGCTGTGGAATCACTAAGTGGGGTTTTCTGTCTGTCACCTAAGCCAATATCTGTTGACAAATTCTGTGAAACAATGATTAGGAAAATGAAACGCTTTATAAAGTTAATACATTAAATAAGAGCTTTTTAACTCTTTCACATCATATATCTTTTATTTTTCACTATTGCAACTCCTCTTCTACTATGGTGCTGTTCTCAGAATGTCCACAAGAGGGCACTATTGCATCTAATCCCTTATTAGGGTGCTGTTTTCAGAATGTCCAAAAGACAGCACTATTGCAACACCTCCCTGCAAGGGCTAGAGCGCTCTAGGTCTATTATTTGGGTTTTCTTTTCAGTCTGGCAGAATTCATTACTAGGGTGTTGTTCTGAGAATGTCCACAGGAGGGCACTATTGCAACACCTCCCATATTAAGGTGCTGTACTCAGAATGTGCACAAGAGGGCACTATTGCAACCAGTCTGTTACTATGGTGCGATTCTCAGAATGTCCACTAGAGGCACTATTACAACACCTCCCTGCAAGGGCTAGAGCACTTGAGGTCTATCTTCCTGGTTTTCTTTTCAGACTGGCAGAATTCATTACTAGGGTGCTGTTCTCCGAATTTCCACAAGAGGGCACTATTGCAACACTGCACTGCAGGGCAAGAGCCCTCTAGAACTGTCATTTGGGTTTTCTTTTCAGGCTGGCACAATTGATTACTAGGGTGCTGTTCTAAGGATGTCCACAAGAGGGCACTATTGCAACACCTCCGTTACTGGGGTGCTGCTCTATGGATGTCCACAAGAGGGCACTATTGCAACACCTCCGTTACTAGGGTGCTGCTCTCAGAATGTCCAGAAGAGTCACTATTGAAACCTCGCCCTGCAGGAAAGAGCCCTCTAGGTCTCTCAGTAGGGTTTTCTTGAAAAAATTATTCACAACTGAATTGGACACATTTATAATGGGCGCTTTCTGTGGTACCTTCGTGGCACTTTAGAATAAAATGTGTTTCTACCATAATTATCATGCAAGTGAAATCGGTCCTTCTGATGCTTCAGTCATTAGACCTTCCCCACCTTCCAGTGAAGTTCAGCACATGCCCAGTTCATTACAGTTGGCTTGGAGTAGAGAGTAACTAGTGAAGATTGGCTAGAATTTGAACAGCTCACAAAACACTGATTGTGCCCAAGTGTCTGTTTAGTGTGTTTACGGAACAAATGTTCAGGCAACAGATGATACTGTTCTTTGCTATCATTGAGAACCCAAAATTTAAGTAATTCTAAATTCCCTTGCTCTGGCAATCTACTTATAGCCCTTAAGGGACTTCCCTTAGTGAATTTGCAGAAACAGGCATCCACAGAACCTAGCAGTGTAGACCTCAGCTACCCAAAGGGGCAGGAACTATGCGCTATGTAAAGGAGTGTGAACGTGTGGCTCTCAGTGATGCTTGTTTGAAAGGGTTGGAACCCGTTTATTTTTTAATTGTGCCTTCTTTGTATTTGGTTTCCTTTCCTAGGCTATTTCCAGAGGCAGTCAAGGAAAAGACCTGGGCAGACCTGCTATAGAAAGATCCCTTAATGCTGACAATGTTATTGGCATGCAACACACCAAAGCCATGCTCTCTAAAGAAAATCAGGGGTTGTAACATCATGAGACCCTCATCTACAAAAACTACAAAAATGCCACCTCTCCTTCTCAAAAGCAGTGGTAACAAGCAGTTAAAGAGATAAAGGAGGTCCCTGGCCGGCTTGCCTCAGTGGTTAGACCATCAGCCCATTCACCTCAGGGTCCTGGGTTCTATTCCCAGCCAAGAGTGTGTAACTGGGCTGCAGGTTTGATCCCTGTTCCCAGTCCAGTCCCATGTAATAGGAAACAGTTAATGTCTCTCTCATATAGATGTTTCTCTCTCTCTATCCTTCCTCCCCTCCCTGCCTTCTCCTGTCCCTCCCTCTCTTCATTCCCCCCTTTCCCTCTTTCTAGAAATTAATGGGAAAAATATCCTAGTGTGAGGATTAGCAAATTAATTAATTAATTAATTAATTAAAATTAAAAATAAAATACAAACCAGGAATAAACAAGAGGTTTCCCTCAAATCTTAGTGAAATTTTAAACTTTGATATTGTGTGCTTTGGCATCCAAGGCACCCCTGCAGAAGTATAAATGCTACAGAATTATAAAACACCATTTACAATTTAATTAGAAAACTTTGCCAGAGAGATCCTAGATGGCTGTTAGGAAAATGAGGGTAATCGCCACCTCCCACAGCGACAGCAAAATGACGACTAAGTTACAGGACAACCGTCAGCCAGCACCACCTGAAATCTGGCTGAATGGAAGTCCTACATCTAGAGAGTAAAGAAGATTGAGACTGGTAGGAGGGGTGAAGGCATGGAACTGGATGGCCTGGCGCCCATTAGAAGAGCAAAAAGAAAACAGATTCCAAAAATATGAAGATTGTGTAAGGAGCCCTAGGACAACTTCAGCCGTACCAACATTCACATCAGGGAGTGGCTGGAGGAGGAGACAGAGAGCAAGGTATTCAAAATCTACTTGAAGAAATAATGACGGAAAACTTCCCCTGCCTGGAAAAATAAATAGACTTACAAGTCCAGGAAGCACAGAGAGTCCCAAACAAGAAGAACCCAAGAGCCCCACACCAAGACACATCATAACTAAAATGCCAAGGGTTAAAGACAAAGAGAGAATCTTAAAAGCAGCAAGAGAAAAACAGTTACCTACCTACAAGGGAGCACCCATATGACTGTCTGATTTCTCAACAGAAACTTTGCCAGAAGGAGTTGCAAGAAATATTCAAAGTGATGGATAACAAGGATCTACAACTGAGATTACTCTACCCAGCAAAGCTCTCCTTTAGATTTGAAGGTCAGATGAAGAGCTTCACAGAGAAGAAAAAGCTAAAGGAGTTCATCACCACCAAGGAGGAGGACGAAGAGGAGGAGGGGCTGGGGGAGGGAGAGGGAGAATGGGGAGAAGAAATCAAAACAATGAACAATAAAATGGCAATAAATACAAAACTACCAACATAAAACTCAAAATAAACAAACAAGGAATCTACTGAACAAAATAAATTGATGAATAAAATAGAACCAGAGGCATGAAAACATGGAACAGACTGGGGAAACTCAGAGGAAAGGGGGCCGTGGGGGTGGGAAGAGATTATCCGAAGATCTCACCTGCCTATATGCATTACCTATGGACTCAGACAGTAGGGGGGTGAGGCCTGGGGCAGGGCAGGAACCGGGTGAAAGGGGACAATGAGGGGATAAAAGGGACATCTGAAGTACTCTCACCAATAAAAATTAAAAATACTAATAAAAGTTTAATTACATTTCTCTTAAACTGATTTAGTTTTGTATGTTGTAAATATTAAGCTTTTAATTTTCTGTTTCAGCCCCCTCGTGAAGATGGCAATGATTGGCTGGAACAAAGAAATTTAATATTTAAATATTAAACATTATATTGGTTTCAGCCATCATTGGATGAAAAAAAATAGTTTAATATTTAAATATTAAACATATCACACGTTTTTGATTCAGCTATCTTTGGTAGAAACAAAGATACTTAGTTTTAAATATTAAATTTTTGTTTCAGCCACAATTGGCTAAAAATATTAAAATTTTAAGAGTGAACATTTTTGTTTCTGCCAATATTTACATCTTTAAGAGGGGTCCAAAACGATTAACATTAAAAGCTAAATATTTAAAATTTGCCAAAATAAATAACTTTAAAAGAAATTTAAGCTCCCAAATGATGTTTTATAAATCTGTAGCATTTATACTTCAAGTGCCAAAGATTAAATTTCACTAAGTCTTTAAGGGAATACCTTGTATTTTTATGGAAATGTCCTCTTTTAAAAATAGTTCTTTGAAATGGCGATTCAAGGACCAAACTGGAATTATAACTAAAACATACAGGAGTGATTTTCAAACATTTTC